CACAGGATGGCATGATGAGATAGTGACTATATGAAATACATTTCCTGGAAAGGAAATGTTTCTTCTATATAAACACGCAGTAGTATACTGATGCTACAGTATCTCTGTGCAGTTTAGGTCTCGTGACATAACACATATGTTTCGTGGTTTCCGCATATCTTTCAAATATTCTAGTTTCGCGAAAGATCTTTAACCTTTGATCGGCCCAGCTGTTGACTACAATATCGCGAAAGTTTCTACCATCATTTTCTTATTGAAAAAACTATTGAAAAACAACGGTGATCATCTTTTTATTTGACAGATAATATGGGATGATAGCGAGATGATACAGTGTAACGTCCACAGTTTTTCCCATTGTCAGACATGCTGGAAATGGAAAAACGGTACTTTTTAAGTTGACAAAGATCCAACAAATAAAGTGCTGTAATACACATGCGCAGAAAACGTAAAGGAAGTTCTTTTGTACAATGAATGCAATGACAAGTACTTGGTCATACTTACATCGAACTAGTTACAGGAAACTTCGTTGTAGACCGATTTTGATTGGACTTCGAAGGCAACAGGTGTACACCATGATACGTACACCATCTCAACGAATATGGACCTTACTGAGAATTTGGCCAGAAAAATGAACAAACAAAGAAGGGGGGCGCATAAGAACACAAATCGGCCCACTGACTTTTTCTCAACGGATTCTTCTGGAAACTATATAGATCGATAGATTTCACCACGGCGAACATTCTGGTGCTATTTTTGATAGTCTTTCATAATACATTTAAGTGTCAACTTGAGCCACCTTTATACAGCATTTTTCAGCCTTTTTCACCTGATATTTTGACAATATTTTGACAATATCTCGAGAAAAGCAAGATAACTGTTCGTGATTTTTTTATCAAAGATAGAGACAAAGTTAGACCTTCAAAATGACTTGAATATGTCCAGTTCATTAGGCTGGCCAGTCTAGCAATCCTTGGAACAATGGTTAAAATACAGGCAAAAATCACTGTTTCTGACTATTGTTACGACAATATCTCGAGAAAAACAAAATACCCCACCGTGATTTTTTCATCATAAGCAGAGATATGTTAGACCTTTAAACTGACTGGAATATGTCAAGTCCATAATGTTGGCCATTTTTTTAAATCCTAGCAACAGTGGTCAAGATGATCTGAAAAAACCTGAAAATGATCATTTAGGACCATTGGTTTGACAATATCTCGAGAAAAACAAAATACCCCACCGTGATTTTTTTATCATAAATAGAGATATGTTAGACCTAGAATATGTCAAGTCCATAATGTTGGCCATTTTTTTAAATCCTAGCTAAAAACTGAGTCGAGTCATGTGTTTTTCAAGGTTTTTCATCGAGATTTTTTCTCAAAAAATTGACCCCTACTCACCCACAGGGTTTACTCGAAAACTGATGTCAAAAAGAAAACCATTTGGACAGTATAAATCAAGGTAAAACCGTTTAAAATCCTAGTATAGCTCCACGTGGCATGTGACGGAACCATAAAAATGGAGTTTTCATTCAATTCAGTTTTCGAGTAAACCCTGTGGGTGAGTAGGGGTAAATTTTTTGAGGAAAAAAAATCTCGATGAAAAACCTTGAAAAACACATGACTCGACTCAGTTTTTAGTGCTGATTCCAAATATGTTATTAGTGTTGATTCAAGCTCAGTTGGTTTGATCAAAATCGGCTAAATGCTAATCAAAAAGATAAGAAATGTTGCCTCAGTAATAGTGTACCTGGACATTTTTCAAGTGGCCAGCCTAGTGGACTTGACATATTCTAGGTCTAACATATCTCTACTTGTGATAAAAACTCACGGTGGGGTATTTTGTTTTTCTCGAGATATTGTCGTAACAATAGTCAGAAACAGTGATTTTTGCCTGTATTTTAACCATTGTTCCAAGGATTGCTAGACTGGCCAGCCTAATGAACTGGACATATTCAAGTCATTTTGAAGGTCTAACTTTGTCTCTATCTTTGATAAAAAAATCACGAACAGTTATCTTGCTTTTCTCGAGATATTGTCAAAATATTGTCAAAATATCAGGTGAAAAAGGCTGAAAAATGCTGTATAAAGGTGGCTCAAGTTGACACTTAAATGTATTATGAAAGACTATCAAAAACAGCACCAAAATGTTCGTCGTGGTGAAATCTTTGATCCGCCCAGCTGTTGACTACAATATCGTGAAAGTTTCTACCATCATTTTCTTATTGAAAAAACTATTGAAAAACAACGGTGATCATCTTTTTATTTGACAGATAATATGGGATGATAGCGAGATGATACAGTGTAACGTCCACAGTTTTTCCCATTGTCAGACATGCTGGAAATGGAAAAACGGTACTTTTTAAGTTGACAAAGATCCAACAAATAAAGTGCTGTAATACACATGCGCAGAAAACGTAAAGGAAGTTCTTTTGTACAATGAATGCAATGACAAGTACTTGGTCAACCGAACCATTTATAGTTATCAAACCGTGTGGATTCCATCTATTATTACATTTGAATAAAAATTAGAAGACGATGAAGAAACAGAAGAATTGATCAACGTGAATAGAAAGTCTATGATCGGTAGTTTCCATGAGAAAGGAAGTGATAAATAGCACCATAATGAAAAACGTCAAACTGGCAAAGATCGTTCATGTTTCATCACAGTCGTCGAAATAAAATAGTTAGACAAAAATGTTATCCATTTTGTTAAGAACGAGCGGGTAATATAATCGATTTCACTGATAAATTCAATGCCAAATCTGTTTTATTATCATCACCATCATTTTCGTCATCAAAGTCATCCTTATATGAGCCATAGTTTGTATGTAGTTCATCTTTAATCGTGGTAATTTTTTCCGCGTTTGCATTCAGTTGCTTTAGAGCAGCTGTGATTGAATTTATTTGAGCATATTTTTTTGGTTTTGATGACGTTTCTTTATTCAGTGTCCGCATAAGACCATCGGAATAAGGAGGTTTGATAACTAAATTAATAACAGATATACTTGTAGTTGAATTACTATTCATTTGTTGAGACAAATTATTTGGCTTTGTTTCGACGATTTCCTAAAATTTAGCAGAGAGAAAACTCCATGTAGCTCTTTGACATGCAATTGCATCTAAAAAAAGATATGAATTAACAGTTATAGCGAAAGTTTTATGAACAATCTCAATCAGATTCTTATATTTTTGCATCTTTTCTTCTTCAAACGCTGCTTTTCAAAAACATTCTTTTGTCGAATTTAATATGGTAGAAGATAGAGGCAAGCGTTCCTCTTCAAAGATGAGATGTTTCTCTTTTTACATAAAACCATTATTAAAAAAATGTTGATTAGCTTATTAAATATCGCGAGAAAGGAAAGGCTTATGAAGTATTTCCACTATGAACATATTTTTTTAGTTGTGAAGTTCAATCCGTGATCTAATGATCTCATCTAGTGAATTGAAATTTTTTTGTCCGATGCCTATAGCATTCGTCATAAGAAACACTGAAATTTTGCTTTTTATTCAGATTTATTTGGTTTTCAGTTGTCAGACCAAAGAATTTTTAGTACTCTCGCTGTATCTTAGTAAAGCGACAACATTTGTTCGATAGAGAAAAATTTAATTTTTGAGACTAATGTTTTCAGCATCTATGCGCGAAAAATTGCATTAAAATTTCGACGATTCTGCATGTTCATGCGCATGCCTGTGTATAACATCATGAAATCTGTAAAAAATTTAATAAATTAAATTCTAAGGCGAAGCTTTAAGCCTATAATCTTAGTATGATTAGTCAGTTAGTGGAAATATGAGCTGTGCTCATTGTGGAGATGATACGTGCAGTTAAGAATGGTAGAAAGAGGAATGGCGTTTTAAATAAGAAAATACTTTACGGCTTGTCCACGTAACGGTCCACTTTTCCGTACGCCCGTCACGTTTTGTCAAGATTGTGGTTCTGCGAGAGAAGTTGTATAGCGCTCGAACGCGTCTCATTTTGAAGAACAAACATTTTTCTTTAAAATGATAATTAAGCGAACGCTAATGGTTAGCACGGCGGTCATATACAGGCTGTAAACTGAATGCCTTATTCACAAGATGTGGCATTTGTTTCGAAGAATCCATTCAGTTATTCACGTTGCTTAATTACCATTTTAAGGTTGGCTCTTCAATGATGGACATGAGACGCCTCCGAGCTATGTAAGAGCTTTTCTCGCAGAACTACAATCTTGACAAAACGTGACTGATGGATGGTTTGGAATGGTACGCTTGGACAGGTCGTTTAGTTACCTGCAGATGTCTCTTTGGTTTTTTCTTTGTTTTCCGTTCGACATTCAACAGATCGGCTAGATCAATGGCTGAGTGACAGTGTTGACCAAGAAATACTTGAGCTAGTTTTCGTTTTGTTACGAATAAATTATTATTACAAAAATCATTTCGTCTATAGGGTCGATTAAAATAATCGATGGGTGGTAAAAAACTTGTCGTCGTTATTGCTGTGTCTTTCTCATCTTTGACATGTAAATGAGGATAATAATTACTTGGACGGATATGCACGTTTGTTTTTCGTCTATCGTAAGCTGGAAAAAAGCCACTATAAGTCATTCTTTCCACTGTTAGTTTACATAAAGTATTTATCGGTATTTTTCAAACGATTTCTTTTTTCTATCGAGTGTTAATAACATTTAGTATGGAAAAAAGTAAATTTTCATGCACTATGTTAAAAAATATTAAATAGTTGATTAAGTTTACTTGATTGTAAAAGAAAAAAAATTGACTTTGGCACAAAAATAAAATAAAAGCAAGCAAAAGAAGAGAAAAATAATAAAAGTGTTTTGTATTATTTTCTTCGCCTCCTTTTGTTCATGGTACAATAAACAAAATGAAATCATTTATATTTATATTTTTTTATTTTTAATAGACATGAAATAATGTAATAGTTACGCGTGCTATATTGTAAACGAACATCACGGAATGTCGGCAACACGATGAATTTGATCAAATACTATGAACATTTTTCGTAAAATTGACAGCTCGTTGAGACGTCTCGTTCACATTTTCTAAAAGAAAAGAAACATTTCGGGAAATTTTGAAACGAATTGTTGGGATTTATCACTTGTAACACGTGGCAAAAATTTCTAAAGTAAATGAGTGTACATCTCTTGACTAAGAAAAACTTCCTCGAAACTGATCCTATTACGAAGTTAAGTTGTCAGTCTAATTTATTTTGATTTTTTCGATGAATATGTGATAGTCGAAAGTTCATAATCGGAATAATAAAATGAGTCGAAATTCTCGATAAAAGAAGTCGGATATAGGTCTGTGTATAAAAGAGAGCAAATATTGACTTTTTATAATTAGTCACACAATCTAACACAATTTAAAGCTGAACTGTATTCGTTCTATTTATAAATATCAGTTACACATATATGTGTATTTATATATCCTTTTTCAAATCAAAGAATCGATTTTACCGCATTATGAAGACCAGTGTGCTGCTTCGAGGTACAGGAAGCAGGAAGGGGGTCCTCCGATTTTGGAGTAAATCGACAAATTTCAAAAATGAGAGTAAATATCTAATTCGTCTAATAATACGCAAGGTTTGACATACAAAACGTTTTAGCTGCATAAATGTCATGTGCTGAAGTTTTTGGTATAGTTTTTGCAATAAAACTAAAGATATTTTGCATGTCCCGAACGGTTTTCTATTCTAATTTGTTGACACTTAATTGCGGAAAACGACTAAAGTATTCTGAAATCTGTTGTTGTGCTTTTTCGAATACTCTTTCGCGGTTTTAGTTGTTTTCATTAAGCCACAGTTTATGACATAAACTTCGTTAAATTTAATAGTAGCAGATTTTCTTGAAAACGAAAAAGTGTTGATGTTTACTCTTGAACCTTCAGTATTTATAGTGAATAATCAACGATTGCTCATTATGCAGCAATAAATCAGTGCTCAGAAAATTTTCCTCTTCGTTTCCACATGCTATTATCTTTATTAGCATACACCAGATGGTGCTGGTTGTTGAAAAGGATGCCGTCTAGTTTTTGAGATATCTGATGGTTCACAATATGATTGTTTGAGAAAAAGAAGCATTTTTTCCATATCGAAGACATTATTTAGTTAAACAAATTAAACATTAATGGTAACGTAATAATTATCGCTTTTAGCTCTGCAAGTGAACAACTGGTTGCTTACTATGGAATATATTATTTTTAAACATAGAATTTGGTTACAAATAGGTTTAATACGTTAACTGAGAAATATACGTAGGGCGTTCAAAAAGTTATAATAATAAAGTGATAATTATTACTTTAACATTAACATTTAATTTCTATAGGTGAATATTCTCTTCGATATCTCAAAAACCAAGCGGCACCCTTTTTGGAAAAATAACATGCGGTGCAGAAGTAATTGCCGAAATCTACAGCCATGGTTCGCCGCTCAGGAATATCGTAGAAAGTTCATTCTTTTTCGGGTTGAAACAACAAAGCCTGAACTTCAAAAAACATAGGAAACAAAATTTTTGGAATTAGCTTTGATTAGCTTTGAGGGAGAAAAAAGTACTATACTAAATGTCACCAAAACAGCTCTTGCAACGTACTTGTTTTCTTTATTTTTTTATTAGAGTGTGAAGAAAAATGTTTTCTTGAAAATCAGATAAATGAAAAAGTAGCCCGTGCAAAACTCTATCGACTTTTCTACTTTAAAAGGTTTCTCAGTTCAACGGTAAATAAAGCGTATTATAAGACTTAGTTTTGATAGAAAGCACCACTTTGCATGGGAAAGATGGGACACGGAGAGAAATTCGTTATTCGGGGCTCTAACATGTTAGTAAAGGTTAAAACTAAAGCGAATTTATAGAGAATTGCATACTGTTCTAGAAAATGTGTTTTAGAGAAAGGAGGAAATTCGTCCAGTATCTGAAAATTATTAATTAAGTCTAATTACCTGTTTTTTCAAACTAATGAAAAACTTGCAAAGTTCCGGTCGAAAAGTGGATCAAAGCATAATTTATCATACTCCATTTGAAAGCGTGATTAAAACACTTCTGGTTTCTATAATTATATAATTTCAAACGTATTCTGTTATAGGGAAAAATAGATTTGATAAGAGAGATACGTTGGAAGACGACAAAAGTTGCAAGAGCTGTTTTGGTGACATTTGGTATAGTACTTTTTTCTCCCTCAAAGCTAATACCAAAAATTTTGTTTCCTATGCTTTTTGAAGTTCAGGCTTTGTTGTTTCAACTAGAAAAAGAATGAGCTTTCTACGATATTCCTGAGCGGAGAACCATGGCTGGAGATTTCGGCAGTTACTTTTGCACCGCAGATTAGTCCATCTTAAAGTCTGAGTCGACTACTCCACATTCGTTAAAAATTGGAGAAAGGTGCCTTTTTAAGTAAGACTATTTTAATTAGCTAACTTGTGAGAAAATCAGGAATATTTCTAGTGTATCTTTTTGCTTTCGTTGAAAAGAAAAAAGTCTTCATAATGCGGTAAAATCGATTATTTGATTTGAAAACGGATATATAAATACACATATATGTGTAACTGATATTTATAAATAGAACGAATACAGTTCAGCTTTAAATTGTGTTAGATTGTGTAACTAACAATAAAAGGTGAACATTTCTCAATAATTCATTCGGCCATATTACTACAAAGAGAAGAGTGAAAGTTCATATTGTTGTTCATTCACTCAGTTCACTCAAGACTAAAATTAACAAACTTCTAATAATTAAGGCAAGAGAGAGTTGTAGATATAATACAGTAGCTAATTTAAATCGCACTTTAATCATAGAAAGAAAATGTTTTTGATTATTAAAATGCGGTTTAAATTAGCTGCTGTATTAATATCTACAGTTCTAGATTCTACCATTTATTGTCTCTAAATCGTGAAAAGAAAGGCAAGAGAGAATCACGTAGAAATCGAATTTTTTTCATAGATATATAGTGTGGAGTGTCCTCGACAAAACTGGATCTAAATCACATCTTGGAAATGCATGGTTCGAGATCTATGGACGCTTTTCCTGAAGCCTTTGCATTCCTCTACCGTTAGATTTTTACATTTACACACTCGCGCCAACTGGCTGTCTCACACGCAGGCAAAGACAGGGAAAAATTTAAGGCAAACAAAAGGAATTGAAGAATTTACAAAGCAAAAAAAGCTGGTTATAGAGAGAACACAGTAATTAATTTTCACTGAATGTGTATCTGATCTTAGACAGTTGGTAGTAAAAATTTGAGCTCGAAATATTGAGTTTATGAATCAAAAAGTAGATGTTCATGCGTTCCAGATGTCTTCTGCAATTCTAATGATACAGACTTTGAGGCGGTGTCAAAAATGATTTGTACTAGCCAAAAGAAAATATATGACTGGCCAATCGGTCCGGTCCGGTCAGAATTTTTTAGACCAGTTACCGGCCCAATCGAGAAAATGGTTACATCTATGTCCTGAGTTTTATAGTTTTTAACTTCATGATTGCTAAGAAATATTTATTAAAGTTCATTATCTTCTTCTTCTTGCAGATCATTCTGTGAAATCATCTAAAAAACTGAACCGGATTATGCAATGATATCTGTGTAGATGATAGTAGCTGAGGTTCGAGTTCGGAAACTTCCTTTTGTGAAACTTCTCCTAAGATTGCGAAGCAGAGGAGTTGGTTTAATAGTTAAAAGTGAACTTTGTCGAATGAGCTTGTTTAAAAAATTAAAGGATAACGACGAATATTTTAGATTTGAATATTTCCGAGAATCCTGTGATAAAAAACTCAGTTTTCAAGAAGTCCACTGTCAAGTCAGAATCAACCAAATCCAATGGCATCATCAGATAGAGCAAGAACCCTTAAGATCCAGACAGTATATTGTGGAAATGTTTCGTGTAGGCACTAGATAGTTTTCAGTCGATTTGGAAAGACGCTCATTCAGTTAAATTCATGTAAATTCAAGTAAACTAAGTAAACTCAAAAAAGTATCAGATTCAGCTGTTTTCTCCTCGCGATTGATTCTTACCACATAAATTTTGCTACGGTATATAGTATATATATAACATAGCTCTCATGACAAAAGTTAGAATTTTTTTCTCCCTTCAACTTTACACATCAGCTGAGCACAAATAAAGTGCATGGCTACACGACCAGGGGGGAAAAGCGCACTCCACGGCACTCCGACACTCCGTATAATGGTTCGGAGTGGCGAAGTGTGTTGTTTTCTTTCAGAATAAAATAGTGATATTTCTCTCAATATTCTTCCCAAAAAAACAGAACAACCCTGTTCCCAAAACAGGACAATCATGTTCTTTTGTTGAGAATATTTCCCTGATAACGGAGCAATTGTGTTCTGTACTGTGACTTCTTTTCCCACGGATAGAACAATTTGTTCTGATTGTGGGAACAGAGATTTCTGGGACAGTTCAGTTCAATAAAGTTTCCTTAAGCCTACGGCACTCCATGGAGTGGTGGAGTGCCTTTTTCCCCTTTGTATACGACACGTGGTTATACATGTTCCTAAGGATGTCAGAATCCTTTCTATGCTCGAAAATATTATGAAAACAAGAAGATATTTTTAAAGAGGATCTAGAGAGAATCTATAGAACATAAGATCTTGTAATATGATCTTACAAGATCATATTTCAAGATTCTTCGCTCTTGATATTTGGTTTTCTTTTAGATAAAAGCTCTCATTTGGAACACAACGGCATAAGGCTAAAACATGCAACGAGAACGTCTACTGCTTGTTCAACATGGGAAGCCCAGTCAATGACAACAGGACGTTCACTCTCATGAACAATTTGGAAAAAAACCGGAGTGCGTCGATAATCTTCGTATCAGAGGTCTTCTAGTCACTCAATGAGTTAACGAAGTGCTCATCCTTAAATGTCGCATCGAAGAATCTAGTCCTTTATTTTGCTTTCTGCTGAAGAATTCACCATTAAAAATAATTCAGTTGTTTTCTGCTATTTGTGAAGAATCTTTTAATCTCACGTATTGAATCTGAGCAGTCTTGTTATTTGTTAGCTTGACCTTTGCCGACAAGGCAAGTTTTCGAAACCTTGAGATTGACCTAAACAGGTTTGTAAATAGGCACGATAAGATATCTAACCAAAGTTTTATGGCTGTTGTAAATAAACATGTTTGACTTGTATTATGTTCGAAACTCAAAATAATAAGAAAAAAAATCTAAGTATATTCTGGTCATACTTTAAACGACAAAAAGACTTCAACAATAAATTTTGAAAAAATGAAAACTAGGTATCAAAAATTCTGAGAAAAGCATAATTGGTGAAGAGGACAGAAGCATTTCAGATTGGTATTTCTATAACAGTTATTGATATCTCTTTGGATAAACGTATACACAGTGAGGAATATTCGTGACGCAATACGATGCTTCCTCATCAAAACAAAAAATCATGTGCATGACATTCAGAATTACTATACAGCGTTCATTACAAATGCCACAAACATGGGGGAATTCTGATCAACACAGCCAAAATGGCTGAACCCAAATTAACTTTTTCTCAATGGTAAACTTTACCTTTCTAATTATAACTGACACTATTATATGCAGGATGGTGAGCTCTATCTACCTATGTAATCTGCATCTCAGTCGCAAATCTTATTAATTGGCTAATTAATTTAGAGAAATGAAAGGACATGGCCATTTTTATATATGTGTTTTGGAGTAATTCCGAACACTCTACCATTTTTCATGAGGTAATTACTGCAGCAATGATCTTACGAGTTATCAGTAATGAGCTTAACAAACCATCGTATTGATCTTATAGAACTCTAGCAATGATCTAACGTGACATTGATCGTACAGGACCATAGTAATGATCTTCAGGACTCTCAATTAATGCTCTTATACAGTTACCGTAATAGTCGGTAGTTGAGAAGTAATTTTCATCAAAAAAAGATCAGAAGAGATTTTTTAATGCTTTTCAATTGAGCAAATTACTTAGTGATCAAAATTTCTCGTTTTCTTTTCCGTTTCATTCATCTAATTAATTATAAATTTGGTGACCAAATGTCTAATTTTTGGTGATCAAAACACATTTTCCCATGATGTTACGAGATTGTGTTAATGATTTCGTATATTTATTTTGTTCAATTTATTCAGTTTACTGTTACGAGCTCTTTTATCTTATTTACTAATTTCTTCCTCTTAGTTCTCTTCTGTTTCTTAGACATTTAGTTAATTTCAACAGAAATAATATAACTATAAATCTGAGTTTTTATGCTTTCTACAAGCTAACGAGATAGTATTTAGATGACAAATATTAATTAGAACAATTTTTGAAGTTTTTCTCCTGGATTCGATCTTCTGACCTTCATACGTTGCACTTCTCTAACTTGCGTATTTTCCCATTGCACTAAATTGTGCAAAGAAAACTACGTATTTTCTTACTATTTCTCTACAAAAAACTTCATTCTAAACCTCTCAAGAGAGTTATAGACCATCTCGGGTGCCTTCTAACTAGCATCACTAGTAAAGGACCCGTCGTACACTTCGTGTCGACAGTAAAAATAAGGTTGACATTTACGCATAGTATAGCTAGTAACATGTGAGTGATCACAATAAAACCTATTTAAATATACACGTAAGTGTACGGTCTTCATACGAATGAATCATCATAACTCGTAGTTTTCTTCGCACGATTCAGTGCAATGGGAAAAGGCGTAGTTGGAGAAGTGCATCGTGTGAAAGTCGAAAGATTTAATCCAGGATAGGCCTGGAAAAGCTTACGTTTCGTTCTTTGAACGTGAATGATCAATACAGACCACATCGACATTCCTTGAACGTGAACGTTAAAGCACTGGTGGAACGGTGTTCGTATCGTCTGAAGTAAATATAAACTTCTGTTCTTGTACTATAGTAAGAACATATATATTTCTGCTTGGTCTTATCTGATCAATAGAAGTTCTAGTGAAGAAGCAGATGGTCTGCTCAGGGTAGTGACCAGATTATTGCAATGTAAAAAGAATACCCCTTTATTCTCTGATCAAGACATTGATTCTTCCAAGACCAGATCGCAGATTTCGTGACCAGAAGACTAGTTTTTCCACCACTGAAATCGAATTTCCTTGATCAAAACGATTACAGTAACTACATACGTTTTTCTTTGTTATCCTAACCCATTTGACGTTCAAGGGACGTCAACGTGCTTTAGCGTTACGTTCAAAGAGAACGCTAAAAAGGAATGCTGAACTTTTGCAGGTCTAATCCAGGAGAAAAATTTCAAAAATTGTTCTAATTAAAAACTTAAACGACAATAGCGGGTTTTTTTTCATTCATTAGTATTTACGTACCTACTCGAGACGCGTGTTTGAAAATTAATCAAATAGAACGAAAACAATGCTATGCCTTTTTTCAAGTGCCACTTTAGCATAAAATACGAGAAGTTTCACATCTTAGTCTCATTTGGGACCGCTCTGACAAGTTTTTCATGAATTTCTAGGCATCCTTGCTTCTTTTATGAAGACAATAAAAAGCAGTGGCTTATGTAATAACTTTTGGACATTCATTATTATGAACTGGTGACAGATTCATGCCTCACATATGACTTAAGTATTGTTCATTTGAATCTAAAATCACGAGTAACATGCGTGAAATTTCTTAGTATGAGTAATAAATTTAAAAACTTTTAGTTATTCACGATAAAAATAACGTGTTCTCCAAGCTTTCCGGGAACTTAAAAACCAAAGGAAAGTGAGTTCATCATTTGTCCTCTTGTTTTTTAGCTCTTTATGAGTTCTTCCATTTTCCAAAAAACATCCTGAGGATAGACATTTACTACAATAATGACAATATCAGTTATTGAATAGCGGTTCTGTTTATGATGCATTACTATTACGTACGTGGATTGTAGAATCAGATATAAATTATCAGGTCATAAATGAAAGTCGGGATTCGATTGAAACCAAAATATATGAACCATATACATATAGACAACAAGATGAGTTGATGATGAGAGTTCTTGATACACATTCAAATGATTCGAGCAGCGTTGCATTTCATTTTACTTGCTGCCCTAATTTTTTTAAATGAAATTGAACTTGTAGTGAGAAATTTCACAATTGGCTGATAAACGCACAAAAAATGTTCATTCGTCCATCTATGAAGTTTGGGTAAAATCCACGTACAAGAACTCAAAATTCTACCATCTGAGTATTTGATGACACCTCAAACATCAAATTATTGCACGATATTTTTTAAGGGAAAAAATTTTCTTGAAAATTTTAAATTATTTCTCCAATACATAGACTAAATGCAGTTTTTAACGCTGATGAAGACTATTACAGCGAAAATCCATTTTTACTTTAATAAAACGCCATTCCCATGACTATCTCAAAAAGAGTCCAAAAAACAGTGTATCATAAGTAAAAAAGGATTTATCGCCCAAAATTCCTAAAAATTTAAATTTTCTTAGTTCAAGTGAAATCTAGGTTATAATAAAAACGGGATTCATACTCCTTTATTCTATCAAAATTAGGAGATACCAAACTAAAAGTTAATACAAAAATTGAACAAAACGAAAGTATTGCAGAATTTCTCTATTACGTGGGCTTTTTCCATAATATACATAAGAAAAAATAAAAACGAAAAACAACTTCATACATTGGCCAAAAAAGAGCAGAACTTCTAACATACTATATTACATACTAATCAACCACATTACTATCAATCACTGTTTTACTTAATTCTGATTGACTGAAAAACATCATGTGGATTTTGATTTACAGTTTAGTATTGCAAGAAAAAAGTAGTCAAAAGTAAGTCACGTATCATGATTACACAAAAGAAAAATAGAGAAAAAAATAACTAAAAAACTAAAACTGTTAAACCATGTGAATAAAACCAATTAGAGACCTGGTCTTTTACAATTTTCACACGATTTCATAATATCATCGTACTCTTCGATTTGTATTGTGGTGCGATCGATAGAATGTGCATGACGTAGTAAATCTTGTGCTTGACGTAAAACAGTCAAATAATCACGATCATTATCTAAACAAGAAATAAACAAACGAACAATAAAACATCAGTCTAATGAGCTGAAACAATGATAAGATTAATAGTTAATTCAGAAAAGATAAAGACTAGTAAGATTATTTTCCGTCGATGTATCTGATTTGTCTGACAAAAAAAAGTGATTTAAAATCTTTATACAAGTGCATCTGATGACTTAAGAGTATGCTAACATCATGTTGAAAATGACTAATTCATCGTAAAGTTAATCGACCTGTATATGGTAAGTGAATATTAACATCAGCGATTTTCTCTATTATTTCAAAGGAATATTATGTTTTCTACATACCAACGGCAATATGGACGGAGAGGGCTACTTTTTTCATTGATAATGACCATATATGTAGACTATGAGCATTTCGAACGCCTGGAATTTGCATTAAATCTTCAATAACCTTTAAATAATCGATATGATGAGGAACAGCTATGAGAGAAACAAAATAACGCTTTATATAACTGAAAGTATGATGCTTCTCAACAAACTTACCTTCCATCAACACAAAGACAATATCTCTCATGATAGTGATTGTAGTTATTAAGACAAGTACAGAAAAAAGAAATGTACATATTGGATCGGCTAATTTATATCCAGGCTAAAATAGAGACATACATAATAAAAAAAATAGGATCATTAAAATATAGGACGCAAAAGTACCCATATCGTAATTTTTGTTAAGATTTTTGCAAAAACTCGCGTATTTTTATACGTTTTTGGCCAAATGAATCTAATGTCTAAAAATGCATTCTTTTTGTATGCATCTTTTTACGCTGTAATTTTACATGCAACAATGTGAACAAAAATGAGAGATTTTTTGTTTTTGAGCAAAATGTTTTTTTGATAGTCTATAACAACGGAAAAAACCGATGAGTCATCGTTCAAGTGTAGAATTTTGAAAAAAAGGGAGTTTGTACAACCTTATATCTATACAAACTGTCTCTTTTTTGGTGAAAATTCAGAAATTTTTCTAAGTGACTCTTCCTAAATACAGAACGTTGTGTTTGTAAGCGGTGCGTGAAGGTACAGGCAGCTGATAGGAAAGTACTGAGTACTTCTTTGGGAAGGAATACCAAAGAATTTATTTGGGCATTCTGTATATAATCTTTTATGTGTTAACTGCCATTGAGTGATGAGTTTTTCTGCGTTATTTTACAAAATTTCGCACTTCTGAAAAAATTGATGCGTGTGATATTACGTGAGCAATGTAAATTTGACTACAGATTTTGGCAAAACAACGACTCATCATATTTGCGTCTTTTGTCAATAAATATTTCGCGAAATTTACAACATGGACTTTCTTTTCTCTATTTTTTTAAAGTCTATAGCTAATAAGAAACAAAGGTCGAAAATTAATTTTTTAAGACAACTGAAAATCAAAGACACATCATTTCAATGAAATAAATTTTGATAGATAAATCTTCTTACTTTAAATTTGATAATAATTGCTGCTACTAATACGCCGACACTTTGTGCAAAATCACCAATAACATGAATGATAGCAGCTCTCACATTAATATCATTAACAGGTTGGTGTCGATGTTGTTTCTGTGGTCTTACGGCAATACTCAACGGTTCATCATCAACCATGTCAACTGCCGTAGTTGTATCTGAAGTGTTGCTATTTAGTCGTGCATGATTAGTATGTCCATGGGTATGGCTATGACCATGTTCCATAGATCCATGACTGTGACCATGATGAGGAATACTGCTGCAACAATTGGCATGTAACACAAAAAACATACTAGAAAAGATTTGAAGACAAAAAGATGAGAATAATTTCTCTATAAAATGGCGTAGCACCCTACCTACACTATATTGAATAGGACACCACAAGAGGCAGTGACTATCATTTCCAATGAATTAACAGTGAAATTTTGATTTATACAACGTTCAATGGCCATATAAACAAGCACACCGGTAGCCAACCATATTGCTAGTACACTAATTAACGCACCAAGTACTTCTAAAACAATAAAGTAAACAGAGAATTGATCTAAACTTTTCATCAATCATCGTTGTTATAGTCTACTCTCATCAAGAAAAAAAATTTTACCTGCTCGTGAGTATCCAAAAGATAATCGTTGTGTTGGTCGTTTTGTTCCAAGATACATGGCCGTTAATGATATCACAAAACTGCCTACATCTATTGCCATGTGCGCTGCATCTGTAATAACTGCGGTTGAATTTGACAATATACCACCTAAACAAAGAAACAAAAATTAAGAAAATAAATTCTTTTCAATTTGATTCTGATATACTTGCCAATAATTTCAATAGTCATAAAAACAACACATAGCACAAGTACAATAACTAATCTGTTTCTGGCACCATAGTCAAATTTTGTATCTGGTACATGACAATGAGTAGAACTTCCTTCGAATTTTGATGTTTCTGTGAAATCATTTGTCCTAGCTGCAGTGGTCATTATTAATTGTTCATCCTGGTTTCTTTTAGATTGAATAATTAACTCTTCGTTGAATAATAATGGTGCATTTTCATTCATATTTATATGGTCGTTGGAACTTTGGTTATTGTTGCCGTCTGTATCCATATTTAGTAGACTCTCATCTTCACTTGTTGTTGTACTAATACTAGGCTGCTGTGAATGTCGAGCTGTGTGGATAGAGGCTGCTGTGTGAATAGAGGCTGCCATTCAAAGAATTAAAAGGAAACAAAAAAAAAATTACTATTCTTTTTATTTTTAAACGTTTTATATTTCATATACTAGAAAAAATGAAGCAAAGAACAAGCTTAGACACCACCAATCACCTGATAATTAAAAGAGAAAAGATAATATAATAAAAAACAAAAGTAAGCATCAACATTCGTTGACTTCACTATCAGGCACTAATTTGAAACTAAAAGCAGGAGAAAATAAGCAATATCAACGCTTTCAGCATCCAGTTTTATATAGTTTCAGACGAAAAATTTCTTTTTTAATAGCCATCTATGCTTAGTAGAGTCTGAAGAATGATTATTAGAAGGATCATCTAAACAAGCAACATCATCTAAAAAAAGCAATATTATCCGTTTATTTGAATTATCACTTCAAAGTGCATGATATATGAATAAAAAACTATTATGTGCTGTTATACAAGTAAAATATCTACTTACAGATGCTGTAAAATAATTAATAACTGAATTAAACCTAAAAAAAAGAAAGTTAATATCATATATAAGTTTTTTCAACGTTATTGAATCTAAAATTAACAATTCTCTCATGCTTTTGGAACATTTCTGACGCATGCTGCTTCCATTGATGACTCTCAAGTTATATATGAGCTTATGAGACTCATATGCTAATCGATTTTCTAGCGAAAGAAAAATGTTCAGATTAAGACTGTCAAGAGAATCTATTTGCCTCTAACACAAATATTTTGAAACAACTATATACTTAAAAAATAAAAAAACAAAAAAAAGAAGCACAAATTTCGCATATCTTTACTCGTTTGAGAACATTAAATACATTTGCACATAATTTCAATGAGAAAAATAAAACAGAAAACGAAAACAAGCACATAAAAATTATAATAAGAAAATCAATAAAACATTGTTGTTGTCTGATTATTTGTCATTAGCTATTTTATGACAAATATTCTACCTGAAAATTGCATTTAAAACTGTTCATATATATTCTGTGTTTGTTAGTAGAATTAATTTCTGTGAAAATTTGAGCCAATAGCGGTGTAATAGCGATACATTATAACGGCAAAGCATCATTCGATACAATCGTGCAATAAACTATTAGTTCATTCTTGTAAATACGAATTAATTTTAACGTTGAATATTTTGCAATTAAACTCAACATTCGTAAGACTAGAAACTCTTTTAAAAACATCATTGAATAGTGGTGTTCTAAATTAACCATTTTACTAGAGATCTTTTTCCTTGTAATAACAAAAATCTCGTATGGTTACCTTTGGAAATTGATAGCGCTCACCATATCCTAGAACAAAAAATTGTAAAATCTTGTAAAATCCTGAACATATCCACTCAAACACTTAACCTTTCTCAACATTCAAACTGCTCTACGAAAAAATATTTTCTCTTTTTTTCGTACTCCTTGTTGTAGCGTTACGAGCGCTAGATAAAACACCGTATAAAAGTTAAAAAGAAATACACATAGAAATAATCACTCAGTTAAAATCTGAGAAAAATCCCAAGTGATAAAAGTATATTTCAGCATGAACGTTTTAAAAGTTATGATTCTACCCTATGATAGCTACGTATGCAATAAAAGTCAATAAATGTTGATAAGTGTAAACAACATTAAAATATACATTCGATGAGATAGTATCAGCATCTGAGGCAAAATGGATTATGAACGTTGCACACAAAGGTTCCAGTTATCAATTCAGTTGACAATTCTTAGAAAATTTTTCAGTAAATTTTTCCACACATCTCAATAGAAAAACAATGAATTTACAATCAAACTACAGAAACTATCTTTATTCAAACTTAATATGTTTCAGATTCATAATTTTGTGACATGATGGTTGAAGATATGAAGAAATTCAATCTTTTTAATTCTAATTGATGAAACAACAACGGTGCAAATGAAGAATCAATGTGAGACGCTAATAGATTGAAACAAAAAATGTGTTGTTGTTATTTATTTTCATACACTAGACATCTTCGGTGGATTTCAACTGACATTTGTAATATTCATATAATAACAACAACCAATAGGCTTTGTTCGTTGAATGAATTATCGATGATACCATTATTAATGTATATTTATAGTTTAAATATTCAAGAATATCATTCTGCAGTAGAGTTTCATTGATAGTTCATGTGAAGTTTAATTATATTAACGATTAGAACTGTATGATATATTAAATCAGATAAATTTAACAATACAAATTGTTAAAGAACTACTTTTTATCATATCTACTATCTTTCATACAAATATTCGAAGAAAAATTTGAATTTTGTATATAATGTTCAACCCACATTTACTATTGAAAAATCCAGTATTAAAAGATATAGTGTTTACAGGTTACAGTGTGAATGCAAGAAACAAATGCATCTAACATTGTCATTGTTTATCGATCCACATATATTGATCTTGTTAAGATGAAAATAGAAATAATATTGAAAACAAAACGATTAGTAAGAAATAAAATCCTAGGCTAAATCGTGATTCAACTAAAAGTACTCTCTGTAAGGATAATTGAAAAAGAAGTTGACATTTCTATCGAAAAAGAAATGGAAAGGCATAGATAATAATAAATTACACAAAATATTATCGCACTGAGTTTTTCGGTCGTAGTCTAGGAATAGTAAGTAATGGCAATGTTCGCAGATTATTTGTTCGCAGATAATTTGGATAGTCGGAGCAATAATAACAATAAACAAAAGTCAAAATCATTAGTAATAGACAACTTGATGGAATACACGTTGCATTAAAGCATAGTGAACATAAGTGAACTAGTTATCCCTACAATTCTGAGAGTACCTTCATGATAGTTTTCTTTTTCTTCTGTTCTAATTCAGTAATCTGAGAAATACTATTTGTCATTGACATTTGGCCATCGTGATTATTTGTTTCTATTATAATAGTTAGTTCATCGTTCCTAAAAGAAATAAAGAAAAAAAGCATTTTGAAGAATGTTTTATTAACAGTGTACTCAAAAATATCCATCATTTTGGAATTTTTGACTACTTACGGCACATTTTCTTGACTTTTGTATCAAATACGTCGAGCGAGTGCTTTGATGATAATTCGATGGCCGATTTGCACATCTAATACGTTCGAATCATCATCGCTCAAATCAACTATTGAATTCGGCTGTTATTGCATTTGCTTTAAATGATTTAGCATACAGATAGGCACGAGCAGCAGCAATCTTGTTTGCAATAAATAATTGTTGAAACTCATTCACGATATAAAGACAATAAGACCTGTCGATTTCAAGCTTTTAAATGATTGATTTGGCTACATTCTCTAAAGTCACAAAAAGCCGTTTTATTTGGAAAGAAATTTTATTCCCCAGTGATGAGTCATACAAGACAAAGGAGGGCTTAGCGCTGTAACAAGTGTGTAGGAGTAAAAACGTGACGATAAAATGGAGAGAAATTACGCTAAAATGTTGTTTAGTTAAGGCTAAGTTCAAGTCACATTTAAAGTACGCAACGATCAAACTGCGCCGGTAGAAAAACATTGTATCATCACATTTTTTCTGATGCCACACTAAAAGCGTGGTGCGGTCATACTAAAAGTAACACAGTCATATTAAAATAAGTCTGACATCAAATTTTTGTACTATCACACTTTTACTGTTTACGTTTTTGACAGTGAAGATAACTCACCATGTGAGACAGTAATGTCAATCAGTCACCGTCAGCCGCTTTGTAGCGAATACCAGCTGATCGTTAGTTGTCAGAAGGTTCATGCAGATTTGTAGCTTACGTCGGAAAATCTCAAAAATAGTCTTCCTTTAAGTTACTTATGCACAATCGAATACCTTCAGCTTGATCCAGTTACTTGAACTTTATATCAATAATGCTTTAATATTTATTTAATAATTTGTTCGAATAACTTAATGACGAAACTTCTAACATTTAAAATCATAGATTTTACTTGTCTACTTTTGGTCGGTGCGATTTTCTCCCATTAAGAATACTCCACCTTTTGCCAAATCTTTTCCCTTTCGCTCTCACTAATACAGCGGCGTCTGAGATTATGCCATTTATATAATGTATATTACGATGATTATTCTACAAAAGGAAGAAAACTAAACCATGCTGTAGTCTCAAAATCTCAAATAGCATTATTTCACGTTCCCCACGTTCATTTCTAGTTTTTGTATAATCATGTTATTAAACGTTCAAACAGCAAAACAACATTCGCTCACTCCATTACCGTCAATGTTCTATCAATCTCTACTATATTTATCCCTCATAGCTGTTTTGTCAGATATATTTCTACCTGGTAAGTTAATCACTCGCTGTCTTTGTGCCTTTGTTTGGAATCAACGTTTTTTTCTTTTCTTGTAGGTGCTGTATATGGTTTAAGTTCAACGGAAGTTGATGAACATTTAGAAAAAGGAAAAAAACTATTAGCAGCTGGTCAACTAGCCGATGCACTCTCTCACTTCCATTCTGCTATTGGTACGGTACCCTGTAGATCTATATAAAATTTCGTCTCATAATATATGTGACGTTTTGCAGATGGTGATCCCAAAAATTATGTTGCTTATTTTCGACGAGCAACCGTTTATCTTGGGATGGGAAAATCAAAATCAGCATTACCCGATTTGTCAAAAGTTGTTGAACTAAAACCAGATTTTACAGCTGTGGGTATTCCCATATTTTGTGAAGAAATTGTGAAGCTATTTTGTCTGTACTTTAGGCTCGTATACAACGTGCAAATGTATACCTTAAACAAGGTGATTTTGAAGCAGCAAAAGAAGATTTTGAAACAATTGTAAGTTCAATATCTTCTTCCTATGTTAGCTAAGCACTGTTCCAAACAATCTTTGTTTAACACGGATATAAAAAGATGTATATATTAGTAAAAGTAAAGTCAGCCGAAAGAGCATGCGAGAATAACGTCTCAATTAGTTTTGCGAAAATAGTGTAGATCTCATGAACAGGCAAAAAGGAACATGAACAAAATGAAATCTTTCTTTATGTAACAATTGGCGAAACTAGTTCCCGTATGTTTTAATCTTGTTGTTTTTGTGCGTTCAACTAGCTCCATCGTCATTCAAATCAACATCAATTGTTTCGCCCACGTCGCTTTTTTTTTCCTACAAAATATTCTTTTTATTTAACTACTCATAATCCTAGTTATAATTTTCAACTGCAGTTAAAAGGTTAAACTCTACCTACTTATAACTATTTTAAATTTTCAATAAAAAGTTATAAATAGTTAGAGCTATAACCATTTATAACTAAGAGACTTTTACATTCTACAGTGCTTCCTACTCTTACTGACTTTCGTCATTTGATTTCATTTAGCTGCAGACGGAGCCGAACAATGATGATGCTCGTAAAAATTCTGAAACTCTATCAACTTTGATCAATGACGCTAAACAAGCTGAAAAATATTATAAAGAAAAAAAATATTCTGAAGCAATCGATATCTTATCGAGAATTATCGAAGTATAATACAAATTTTTTTTCTTTTTCCATGATATGTCTACCATGTTATTCGGTTCTAGCATTGTCCGTGGTCAATCAAACTACGCGAATTACGTGCCGATAGTTATTTAAATGTAAATGACTTTGCGAAAGCTGTCACAGACTTAAAAACAACAGCCAAACTAATACCAGATAATACAGCAGCATTTTTAAGAATCAGTGAATTATTATATCAAATGGGAGAAGCCGAAGACAGTTTAAAGTGAGAAATTCATCTCATACTGAAATCGATGTGTTGTAGAAAACCCTTGAGATTGGTCTATGACTGAGGTGCATAGATTTAAAACCTATTTGATCATGTGTCTAAACCGATTTTTTTATTATTCTTTTTTCGAATACTTCTTTCTTATCAGTTTTATCTATTTTTTCTAGTAATATTCGTGAATGTTTAAAATTAGATCCTGATCATAAACAATGTCATACTCATTATACAAAAATCAAAAAATTAGCAAAACAAATAGATTCCATTAAAGAATTTATAAATACACAAAAATGGTCAGATTGTATTGAAAAATCGAAACAAATTTTAAAATTAACTGATTCACAATCGGTAACATTTGTCTATAAAGCGAAAAACTATATGTGCACATGTTATTCTAAATCAAAAGCCGTTAAAGAAAGCATTAAAATATGTACAGAAATTTTAGGTATGAACAATCATAGAAACACGATAAACTAAAAGATTGAGTACGAAAAGATGATAGAACTTCGATAACGAATCCTTAGTGCTATCTTTGCTTTCGTACTTATTAACGTTTCTTACTTGGACTATGTTGTTCCTTCATTATTTTCAGATCAATACCAAACGAATGATGTTGATGCACTTGTAAATCGTGCTGAAGCGTATATTCTTGATGAGCAATACGAGCTAGCATTAAAGGATTATCAAAAAGCTCATGAGTTTGACGATAGTCAACGTATTCATGATGGAATAAAACGAATACAAAAATTAATAAAACAAAGTAAAAAACGTGATTATTACAAAATATTAGGCATACGACGAAGCGCAAATAAAGCAGAAATTCTAAGAGCATACAGAAAACATGGTAAGTTACATGTATAAATTTTTTCGTACTTAAGCTTTAAAGTATAATGATTTATTTTAGCTATTAAATGGCATCCAGATAAATATGAAGGTGAAGATAAGAAAAAAGCAGAAAAAATGTTTATTGATATAGCAGCAGCAAAAGAAGTGCTTACTGATCCAGGTAACATGATTCACTTGAAAAGAGAAACAAACGATTTTCACAATTCATTCTAGAGAAAAATATTTAGAAACTGCATCAGGATAGCAGAATGACTAAAGTTGGACAGGAGATATATAGTGGTATTAGGAGCGGAGATAGATATCGGCGTTTTTTGGGAAGATAATCTATTTAGAACGTTAAAACAGGGATTTATGGTCATTTTTTTGATTTGTAGAAAAACGTGCTAAATTTGATAATGGTGAAGATCCGTTAGATGCCGAAGAACAAGCGCAGCAAGGTGGTTTTAATCCATTTGGACAAGGCTTTAATCCATTCGGTGGAGGAAACGGTGGTGGCTTCACCTTTCGATTCCATTTTAATTAGCTGTCTTGTGAAAATGTGCTTATGTGGCGGGGTTATTGTTATGTTTTATTTTGCACTGTTGACTTTGTATATTTGTTTCTCTCTCTTTCTCTTAGATATAAGAATGTGCTTCGTTTTTTTGTTTGTTTCTACAAAAATAATAACAATTTCTTCAACGTTGAAGATACAGAAGGATTCTACTCATCCCCGCCGGTTGTTTGTTTGTTTTTATTTTGTTTATTGTTAAAATTTGTCTTTCTCTCTGCTTTCTCTTTTATAATATTTTTATTGACCACATCGTATTGTATTTCTTTGTTTTGTGTATGTGTGCTTTCGATCTAAATTCGTGTATTAGTATACGTGTGTATGTCCGATATTTTATGTGAAATTTGTCTTTTGTCAAAAAACGGTATGAATTCAGAGAATATATAGCAATGGACTCTTAAAGAAACTACTATGTTGTTCTAGCAACTTATAATAAACAAAGTTTTTTAATTTGGGATTTATTATGAAATTTCATACAAAGACAGACGGATTTTTATTAGTTTGATTTTTCTTATGCTAGCTAAGCTATTGATATACTGCTGAATTATTTTTCTTTCTCGGTATCAATTCCAGGCGGTTTGTTTGAATAGTTTTTCTTTTGATGTGTTCGTTGTTTCTGTTATACCATACATAATGAAAATTACATTCTTTACGATATCATCATCATAGTTCGACAGAATGTTTTCTATCGAGTTTTTTTCATCATTGTCAGATTCTTCCAGTATGCTTGCTACATTCGTTTAGTTCAATTTTTTAGTTTTGTTAAAAAAATTTCATATTTTCGATTTAAGCGAACGTGTAATTAGCGTCTCTATCTTTTCATTGTAGAATTACGATTTATCATTATATTCTATATATCGAATTTTGATATATTGTGAAAAACGACTCCATATTCACCTGCCTATCTATTAAAAAGCCGTGCTAGTGACTACTGAATAAGCATGATTTACACTAAACAGATCTGAGCTGCAGAATCTGCCTGTTTGCTCCGTCAGTCGTCGGGGGAAAACTTATTGACTCGGAAATTTTTTGAAAAATTGAAACATCTTTTTGCAGATATATTGCAAAGTTCGTGGATTATGTCGGTGAAGTTTTTGAAAAAAAATTTTCTGTCAGGGGAAAGGAGGGGGCCGCATAAGGTCGGGAATCGGCCCACCCTCTTTTTTGACTAAAAATGGATCCATATGTAGTAAAAAAAGTGCCTCTATTCCGTTTTCGATAAAATCAGATACTTTTGTCACGTAAAAACCGGTTAATTCCTGAACAATAGCATCTCAATAAGCACCGTTAAAAAGCCACCATATGATCAGTACAACAGATTTTCCTCAGCTACCTTACACTGAAATGGCAAACTAAACACAGCGTTAGATAGCCCGTGAATTTCTCTACAA